GAATTTAAGGAGCAAATGACTTAAAAGGCCAGACCTAAAGGAAAAATGAAACGGGTGTTCAGCTGTCCTGCCCGCTGGGGCAGCGGAGACCCTGGCACTCGTGGGGGAAGCAGGCCTGGCGCGGCCACGGAGCCGTGGGACTCTGTGACCAGAGCGGCAGCAGTGGCCATCCTGCCCACGTGGTCGTCTGGCCCAGTCCGCCGTGGGTGTCCACAGCACCCAGCAGCCGGACCTTCGTGTGCTCCAAGCCTGGGGCCGCTTTTGAGAGGCAGGTCTTCGAGGGGGTTCTGGTCGAGCAGAGAATGGGTTTATCAGGACTGGAACTCTGATCCAGCCGATCGGTCTTTAAAATTCAGGGGAAATGTCTTTGCTTTTTTTGCTTCCCTGCTGTCAGCCGCCCCACGTGGCACAACTCAAAAGAAGGGGCGGCAGCAGAAGCCGCCAAACCAGCCACCGTTGCCTAACGAAGCCAGTGCTGTGGGGTTTTCATGTTTTTCTGAACGTCGGCAGCTTCCTCTTTGTGAGCACGCGTTCCCGTGGAAAGGGGAAGGCAGAGGGGTGTTGGTACAAAGCGGGGTGTCTTTCTGTGTTGCGTTTGAACGCCCTGCCCTGTCCCTTTGAGCTGGCACTTGCCAGGACTCAGGGCCTCGTGCAGAGGAAAGGGGGTAGTGCGGCCTTTTCCCGCGTAGAGCCCGGAGCAGACCGCCCTGATGATGGGCCGCTCTGACTTCCGAGGCGTGAGTGTGGGGTTCAGTGGCCCGGTGAGCTCCTTCAGTTCCAAATTCCTGGCTCCACACCCAGTATTTCCCAGCAGAGCTTGCTAGGAGGGTGGCCCTGGAGGACGGCTGCCAGCTTGCCCCCAGACACCCGCTCTGGGCCCCACGGGGTGGGTTTTTCCTGTGACTCACATGCTCCAAACCCTTTCCTCCCCACTTTCCTGTCCCAGTTACTTACAGGTAGGGCATTAGGTTTTTTTTTCTCTTTCACACAGAGGAAATCATTTTTACAATTTTTGCTTTACCAAATTACATAGACGTTTGTGGGTCCTGGATGGTGGGAGCCCAGAACAAGCAGCTCTACTGGTCTGTGCGTCATCCCTCTGTCCCCTGGCTTGGACCTGGCACCTTCCACGTAGGTTCACAGGGTGGGGCTTAGACAGGGCCTCGGAGGCCACCCGCTCTACTCCAGCTCAGGGTTGGATAAGTGTGTGCTGTGCAAATGCGTGGATGAGTGTATCCAGTCCTTAGCGCCCCCTCCTCCTCCCCTGGAGCAGTCCGAAGCCTCATTTCAATGCGATGTCCTCAAAGCTGGCTGCGATGTGTCTTGCCGGCTGTGGTGTATCCTGCCGACCCCTGCAGCTGGCCTGGAGGGGAGCAGGATCCACAGTGGACGCACAAGATGGTCTGTGAGGTGGAGGAAGGAGACAGGAAGTCTTCCCGCTTACTCGGTTGGGCTACTGGGGGATCGTTGCTAGGAGGACCTTGCTCATCCCGCTGTCTCTGAATGGCTGGGGGAGTTCTCTAGCTAAGTTCTGGAAAGAGCTAGGAATTCATTCATTCTGCACTTTGTTCTGAGACAGCTGATGAAGCAGAGTCGGAAACCCAGGTTGGGGTTCAAGGCAATTTAAATAGAGCAAAGAAGACAGGATTCGCCCAGATGCTTCTTGTAACTAAAGCTGTAACTTCAGGTTCAGCTTAGCTCTTCCTAGAGTTCAGACGTGTTCGAAAACAGATGAAGAGCAGTTGGGATTCTGGCCTCACGTTTTCTGCAGGACGCTGCGGGCCCCGACGGCAAGCTTTCCAGATGCGGGCTCCGGGTGGACGCCAGCCTCTGAGCGTGTGGCTTTTTGGAACAACTGCAGTCTCCCTGCCTGCAGCAGAGAATCAGGGCCACCTCACAGCTGTTGGCAGTTTTGTTTGATGACACGGTGATATTTGGGGCACAGTAATACAAGCAACAATATGGTAGATTTCCCCCATACACTCCTCTGTTTCAGAGAAAACAAGTATCCTCAAAAGAGAGCAAGGGAAGAGTGAGTAAAATCAACCCTCACGTGGCATTTTGCTTATTTATTTACCAAACACTCCTTTAATGCTTACCACAAGCCAGGCATTGTCCTAAGTTCTTTTAAAAACAGGAACTTAATTACTTTTCACAACAGCCTTAACTGGTGGCAGTTTTATTAGCCCGTTTTACCGATGTGGAGCCTAACGCTCGGAGAGGTGGCATCACTTGTCAGGGGTCTTGCGTGGGCCCCCAGCCTGCGCTCCCCTCCCGGTCCTGTGGCCTGCACTGAGAGGTCCAAAGCCAGCTCCATACCCGTTTTGATATGAAATCTCTCTTGCATTTTTTCTCGTGGAGATTCCCAAACCTTTGAGAATTATTTGTGTGTGTGTGTGTGTGTGTTTGGTTTCACAAAGGGCCTTTCTAAAAATATTATTTTATATGTGATACTATAAAGACAATCTTCCATTTTTTGAGCACTTGCTGTATGCAGCCGGTCTTCCTGTGCCAGCTGTCCTGTAGACGTTAATTCTAATCCAAGAAATTCGCACCCATCTCACAGAAGAGAAAGTGGAGGCCAAGGAGCTGTCACCTCGGCTAATGAGAGCCAAGACGTGAGCCGAGAGGTCTGTGCACTGCTCTTCATGGTTACACGAGTCTGCACAGGTCTTGCCTGATCCCCCGCCCACCCCCCAAAGGGGACAGTTTCACAGGGCCCCCCGAGGATCTGGCTGGTATACGGACGCCTGGTGTGGCCCAGTGAGCCCAGGACAGAGGCAGTTTACACCTGTTGCCCCAGCACTGACTTCCACTCAGAGGCACCCTGGCTTGGGTGATAAATTGCATGGTCACCCACTCGGGGCTGGATGCCGCCTGGTTTCCAGGCCACGGTGTCCCAGCATCGGCCCCTCGGGGTCTGGCCCCTTTTCATCCCGCAGAGTTTTGAAGTTTCCTCTTCTGCTGGGCTTCATTAAGCCCCCGATTGGTTGGAGCTCCCCCCGGTTATAAATGCGCATGGTGCTTGGTGTTCAGGTTAACAAATTAGCCCAGCGAGATGGATAAATGAGTCACTCTGACCTTCCGAAGTCCTGCTGGAGGAGCTTTGCGAAATAGCATTTGTAGTTTTCTAACAAGCAGTTTAAAGGGCGTCAGCATGTGGCATTTGTTTAAGAGTGAAATGTCCTAAACAATGCCCTACTTAAAAGCAGATTTCAAGATTTGCTCGCGGACAGATGCAGAGACGTGGCAGATCAGACGCCCGTGTCCCCTCACGCAAGCGTTTCTGAAACGGGCCTCGTGTCTCGGGGGGCCACAGCCAAGTGTGGAGGGGCTTCCTGAAACCCACTTTTAACGCCAAAGCCTCGTTTTTTGCCAAATTGCTTTTTCTGCACCACCCAAGAGCTTCTAAATGTGCTTCAAAACAGCCGGCTTTGCATTTCATCTGAGTGGTGGGTGGTGAAGAACCGGCAGCTCAAGGAGGTTGGGCGGGGGGGACCTCAGGGAGCTGCTGGCATTGGGCGCAGGGAAGCAACGTGGGAAAAAGTCAACTCCCTTAATCGCTAATTGAAAATGCATAAGCTCTTCAGCCTCAAAGGGCTTAGTTTCCTCATATGTCTGAAAGTGACAGCCCCACCTCACAGGGTCACTGGAGGATTAAATGAGATAATGCGTCTGACGTGTCTGAAACTTAAGAGGCACTCCATCAACTTGAGGTCCCGTCTTTCCTTCCTGGATCCTTTCAAGTGTTAGCCTCAGATGCCGGGGTCCTTGTTCCCGGCTCAACTGGCTCTTCAAACAGTCTTATTAATGCCTATTAAAACGAAACCCAATAAAAGTGCCAATATTTGGTGTTGAAATAATTGATGTAGCAGAGTGAGCCCATGGAGCACCCAGGCAGGCCCCTGGTGCAATTTAGACTCACACCTGGGGGATGCATTTCACAACTGTAATTGCTACCATATAATTCTTATTAATGTTGTGCTATAATTCCTATTTATTCCACCAGGCTTGTAAATGCATTAGGACTTGTCAACATATTATTTTACACTGTTTATGATCTGTAGAATTATGTCCTTCAGGGTTGTATTGTGCAAAAGCTCAAAATAAATGGCTTTGGGCCTCATTTAAAAAGAGCAAAAGGGGGCTGCTGGTCGAAGGGGTTCTCCGTCCCCGCCGTCTGGAACAGAAGCCGGCAAAGTAGGTTTGAAATCCAGGTCTGAGCAGAGCTCTTAACCTCAGCAGTACGAGGGCCCTCCCCCGCTCCCATCAGCCCTCAGTCCCTCGCAGCCTCACAGGGATGTTAGGTGCAGTTACCTGGGGACAAGTGTGGTAGGGACTCGTGTGGTCTTCCGTGAGCAGGACCTGCATTCCAGCACTGACGATTTGCCCGCAGAGCTCCAGGCATTTCTGTCCCTCTGTTCCCTGGCTTGAGATAACCTTCTGTAATTTCAAATTTCCTCATAGTCTTCTCAGCTCAACCTATAAAGAAAAAGATCTGAAATTAATCCCCACTGAAGCATAAATACCTAATGAGTATGAAATGTAGCCCCCTCCCACAGATCCTTGCATCAACTAAGCCAGAAAAGCGTAAAAGGAAGGGGCCGGAATTCTGTGCGTGGGAATGTCAGACATAGCTAGTGTGTTGGGGCAGGAGGTGTCTGTCGTCATTGGTTACTTTCGGCTTTGGCCTTGGAGCCTTCCCAGAACCTTTGCAGTCATAGACTGGCCTGCTGCAGGACCAAGTTCAAGTCCTTGCTCAGCTAGTTCCTAGCCACACATCGCTGGGAGGTCCTTCACCTGCTCTCCTAGGCGGGGATTGCAGGCAGCACAGGACTGTCCTAAGGACCAGCTGTGTTTGTGTCCCCTGGTGCCTGGACTGCCCTCTCCCCAGGCAGGAGGTAGCTGCCTGTCCTGTCACCGAGCCGCTCCTGTCCTGCGGTGTGAGCCTGTGAGGAGGGGACAGCTCCTGACAGCCCTTGCGCTCTCTGCCCCTGCAGGCAGCGAGTATGACGAGGAGGAGGTGGATTATGAGGAGTCCGACAGCGACGAGTCCTGGACCACAGAGAGCGCCATCAGCTCCGAGGCCATCCTCAGCTCCATGTGCATGAACGGAGGGGAAGAAAAGCCTTTCGCCTGCCCAGTTCCCGGATGTAAAAAGAGATACAAGGTAAAAACAAAACGAAACGGAAAAGTACCACGTCACCTGGCCCAACTGCCTGGATGTGGGCAAGGCCCACTGCAGGTAGCAGCCCTTCCTGCGGAAGGGGGCGCACAGTCCAGGTAGAGGTGCTCCCCGTCCTGTGCTAACTGGGCCTGGGCCCTCACGGAGACACGTGCCCGGGCCCGGGCTGCCACTGGTCAGGGCTGTCCCTGGGTTCCAGGTGGCTGGTGGGGTTTTCCCTTCTGGCCCATGTGGAGCTACAGGTCGGAGGAGATTGTTTTGTAGGATGACTATACCTTTGATGCTCCTCAAACTCATGTCACATCAGTCAGATTATGAAACGTGTCACCTATTTGTCACCACTTTGAAGTCTTAAAGCCCCTGCTCAGAGCCCTTTTGGAAAAGGTCGTAGGGTATTTTAGCTTCCAGCTGAGGAAGTTCTCGCTCCCTCCCCACCCCCTCCCCACCCCCAGTGGCATGAAAGGTGAGGAAAAGGGGGCTTTGATATTTTTCTCACCAAACCACCCACTTCTGTGTCCCCTCTGTAGATGACAGAGCGCGTGTGTCTGAGGGCCTCACTCTGGGTCTCATCGGAAGCTGGGGCGCTAAGTTTTCTATTAAGAAAACTCAAAGGGACAAAACAATGAGAAACACTCACAACAATCAAGTGTGGGTCCAGAGGTCACATTTTTTTTTTTTTTAATGGGCAAACTTTCCCATGAAGTGTTAGCGGCTCTTTAAAATCCAACTCTGGGATAGAAATACAAAGATCGGAAGCGTACCTGGCACACGTGTGATAAGCTCATTTACCCACAGCTCTCGGCAGACTGACGTGAAAAATACACGATAGCGTTAGCACTTCCTATATTGCTTTCTCAAACGTGTGTCTCCGAACACTAAGAAAATCATCTGTTTCAGTACTTTTTCTATCTGCTACTGATACAAATGGATCTTAAAGTGAGTGGCCTAAGGTTTCCTCTGCTCTGTACCCTGTCACGGTGTTATCACGGCGAGTCCAGATGTGCTCTGTTTAAAATGAAACCGCCAGGACGGAGATGCACGGATGCCGTCAGGGCATCCCGAAGAGCTGTTCGGGTCTGGGCAGGTCCCCGAACGCAGTGTCGGGGGGCGTGCAGGTGGGAGGAGGACGCCAGACCCCGAGCTCGCTTTTCCAGAGGGCAGCGGGCTGTGCGTTGCAGAAGTGGAGAGAGCGTGACCGTCACCGCGTCGGGCCCGCCCCTCCAGAAGCGCCGTCTGTCCGTGTGTCACATAGCGGCTCCTGCGTGCTCTGCCGCCGCCTCTCAAGTGTCCAAACGCCGTGGAAGGGATGTGTCGCATGGCGGCCGTGTCAACAGAGCGGGCCACGGGAACGACCCAGACTGAGGCTGACCAAAAACAGAGCCGATGCCGCACCCCTATTCCGGCTAAAAGACGAGGTGTTGTCCCTTCCCACCTCTGGCCGCTCTCCCCGCGCGCCCTTTCCCGCTGCTCACGGCTCTTTTCTTGTCGTTTTTCTTCTGCTTTTGTGTTTCTCGGGCGGCCAGCAGCTGTCTGCGTCGGGGTCGACGGGGGCTGTTTCGAGTGCCCTTTCTGCCTCTAAGCGAAGCCCGAGGGCACCTTGGGCAGGAGGCTGCTTCAGTCCGTCTGCCGGACGGG